TATCAATTAATGGTAAATTTAAATAAGGGGAAAAGATTGCTGTTAAGATTTTTGAAAAAAAGAAAACTAAGATTATCAATTATATTAAATCAATAAAAATCTAAGAAAAATCCTATCCTGAAACTTGGAAACCATAAATTCAAAATATGGAGAAAGTTCTATTAAGATCAGACTCAGAAGAATACTAAAAAATATAAACCTTATTTAGAAAGACTGATAATGGAAATATATATGAAATTTATAGAATTTAAAATAAATCCTTATGGGATAATTACATTGCAGAAAAAAATAAATTGATAGAAATACATAAATAATAAGGGAGAGTATTATCACCTATTGAAACAGAAAGATACTTATGGCATGGAGTTAGATAATCACATCCTTAAATTATCTATTCAGGTTTAAAAGAAGCATTTGATTAAACATACAGCAATGTAATTATTAATTTAAAAATAGGTTGGTATGTGGGGTGCTGGTATCTATTTTGCAGAAAATGCTAGTTATTCTAGAAATTATTCTTATTAATTTTAATTAACAGATGGTTAACAAAATATTGGTAAGTTAGTATTTTTATGTTGTTTGGTGACAACTGGAAAAGTTGAAATAAGACAACCAGATAATACTATTAAAAGACCATCATAAGGTTTTGATTGTATTTAAGGTAATACTCATGGAAGTGATGTATTTATACTATATTCAATGGACATAAGAAGAGCATATCCAGCATACGAGGTAATCTATAAATGATATGATTATCAATTATATAATAATAATAGTAATTAAAAAGATGTTAAGACAAAATTATATTTAAAAAGTACTATTGATTTATTAATGCTTTCAATCATTCATTAATGAACAGAAACAAACTTTTTCTTTTGTCTCCTCCTCTTAAAGAGAATTAATTACACTACTTAAATTCTCTTAAGTAACTTGAATTATTTTAGTATCAATCAGACAAATTCTAATTAAATATAAATATAATATATACTCTTTAGTTTCTGTCACATAAAAATTTGGATATGTGTTTGTTGGTGGATTCATAAAGTCTATAATATTTTTATTTAAACTACCTTCATTTATATTCTAATTTGATGCTCCATTGCATAGATTCATAGTTAATTTCCCAATATAACCATTCCAAGATTTGTAGAAATGATCTTTACCAATATTTAAATAAAACTAAGGTACTAAAAAATGATTAATATTATCAAAATGAATAGATTCTTATTTATTCTAAAATTTTATATATCCTCCAGCAATTCTTCTTATTCTATCATAAGAAAAGAAAATAAAATGCCATTTTGTTTCTTATTAGTCTTAAGGTATTATCTGAACAATATTTGGTTCTCCATTCCTATCTAAATTCTTATAACTGTATGTAGCCATTGCATATATACCATTTTGTGAAGGAGAGACCCAAGCAGCTAAAGTTCTATCACCTAAAATTTCATCATTTTTATTAGTCTCTTCTTTATTAATATGCAAACGAAATGCCAAATGCCATAATTCCATTTTTGTAGGTTCCCATTTAAACCAACCAAAAACACTATATTCATTTGGAAATTGAGTTTAAGAATTAGACTGAATTTCTGATAAAAAATCCTGTTATTCTTAAAACTTCTATATATTTTCAATAACATTTTGTTAAACATATTAATCACAGAATTCATTTGGCTATGGATTACATTCTAATGCATATTTATTCAATTTATCTATTGTATCAATAAATGCTGTAGATCCTATCTTAAATGAAGCCTTAGTGAATTACCCATTAATAGCTGGATATATTGAGAGATCAGAACCTCCAATAATAAGTTTTAAATAGATAATATTTTCATGTTATGCATTAATTGTAATAGATTAAGATTCTTAGTCAGAATATTTAACAAAACCTACAGCTTTATTGAAAGTGTTGCTGTAGCTAAAGTAAAAAAATGTCCAAACTCCCTCAATATCATAATACTCAATTTATTAATTTAGATTCCAATTATTTGTTTTATAATCATTTGTGAAAAATGTGTAAAAACCTTAACCTTACCAAATTCCTAATAATCTATCTCCTTTATCAGTATCTTAATAATTTATATTATTTGTCAATCTACTTACAAAATACAATGGTTATGTCTTTCCTTAATACATAGGTTTTGGATACCTAGTAAGATATCTTAACCAAAATGAATATCCATATCCTTCAATTAGATTATTATCTGATACTTCAATTTCTGCAATTGATTATATGTCATCATATGCTGAATCAATAATAGTGTTATCAGATATATAACATTAATACTCAGAATTGAATTCAGGTACTTGAATAGGCAGAGTGATATGATTTATTAAGTCAGGTATTTTTGATGGATTGAATTATTAATTAAATAAATCTTAGCATGTAACATAATTTACATCAGCAATATATCCATTAAATCCAGAATAAAATTAATCATTACCAATAAAAATTCTAAAAATTGGAACTAAATAATGATTAATATTTTCAAATTTGAGATTCATTTTCTCATCTTTGAATATAATTTAACCATAAGCTTAACGTATCTCTATATTATATTAAAAAGAAATGTAATGCCATTATGTATGTTTATCCTTATTTTCAATAAATTAAACAATATTTGATTATCCACTTCCATACATATTGAAATAGGAATAAGTAGAAAATGTATATTACTATTTCTAACTTAACCAAACAACAAGTGTTCTATCTCCTAATTCTTCAACATTATTATTTATCTTCTAATTATTAATTGTAATTCTAAATGCTAAATTTTCAGATTCTTAATCAATTTCAATATATTTATACCAACCTCCAATTCCATATATAGTTGGAAACTCTTATTTTTAATTATTAAAGTGTTCATAAAATTATGATTAAGATATATCATATTTTTTAATTCCTTAAGTTAATTATATTATTTGACTTTTGTCTCTACAATCAGATTCTGGTTTATGATTACATGCCATTACAAATCTATTAAAATCATCTTCTGTATTAATGAAAGATCCAGCACCTAATTTAAATATAGGTGATGAGATCTAACCATTAAATCCTGGATATTAATTAAGATCTGAACCACCTATGATTAATCTTAAGAAATTAGGTTATTCATGTATTGCATCAAAAACAACCATTCTAGTTTCTTCTTCAATTCTCAATATTCCAATTGCTTAACCTTATTTATAACTAAAATGAATATATGTCCATACTCCTTCAATATCTTAATAAGACAATGTTTTTTATAAATTAGGATTTTGTGATGTTACATCATTAGTAACAAATGTATATCCAGATTAACCTAACCAAATACCCAATATTCTATCACCCATACTTATATTATCATATGGATCGTTTTTAGTCAATCTTGATATGAAATACCATGGCTTACTAATACCTTCTTTCTATTATTCAGGCCATCTTGTAAGCCATCGAATCCAATAACCATAACCATATTCGTTTACTCCTTCTAATTTAGAATCATTAACTTTTAGATCTATAATTTGTTTCTGACTTGAAAACATATCTAGAATTGAAGATTCACCACTTACACACAATTAATTCATTATTAATTCTTTATCAATTGATAAGTTTATTTAATCATCATTTTCACTTTAAAAAGATTTTTTTATTACTTAAAGTTATTCTGGAAGTTCTATAAAAATATCTTTTAATTGAGTTTATTCATCTTTATTTAATTATAAATCAACTGTTTTTATTTACTAACTAGTTAGATCATTATCACATTTATTTCTAATTTTTTGGATTTTACTGATTAATTCTTCAAAATTTATATCATTAAGATTTTAGCATTCTACTTCTATATAAGTAAGTTATTCTAATAAAATTTCTATTTTTTATGATAGGATCTCACAATTTGTTTTCCTCTCTTAATTATCCAAAGTCTAAATGATTTAATTAATCAAAGACCTGATATCCTCAAATTGTGGATTTATCAATTTATCTTTGATTTCGATATGTTTTAATGAGTCAAACTTTTGTTTAAATAGATAAGAGTATTGAAAATTCTCTATCTAAACAAATGTTTAAAAAAGCTATTCATTTAGTTCCCTTTTGACTAATATATATAATTCTCTTAATTCATTAATATATTCTTCTATTTTTCCTATTTATATATAATGGATAGTCTAATTTAATTGTTTTAACCCTTCTTCAGCTTCTATTAACATATTATTGTCACATCCATATGATTCTATATCGATCTTGGCCAAAAATTGTATATTAATTAAAGAGGATTTAGCAACTAAAATTTATACTAATCATTGCTACTTAATACTTCTAAAAGTACCCATATTACAGCAACTCCGCTAATCATAATTATTAATAATAAAAACGGATTTCATAAGCAATTAGGTACGAAATCAGATATGTATTATAAAAATTTTAAATAATTTAATAATGCAAATAACTCTTTGGCTAATATCAATTAAATTCTGTATATCACTCTATATATATAATAATAAGCTAACAATGACTTTATTTTAGAGAAAAATTCTTTGAAAATTAGATTTTGTAATACTGTGAAAATTTAGACGTCATTTTGTTTATAAATGAACATTATAAGTTGCAAAATATTTAACTTACTCAAAATTGTAATTCTTTATATTATGTATCATCATATTCTATATTTAAAAATTAATGATAGGGTATCAAAATTTAATCATTCATAATAAAGAAAAAAACCTAAAAGGATGAAAAATTAATACAAATAAAAATAATTAATATTATAAGAATTTTTATGTTTTTTTTGTTTTTGTTACTAATTTTGAAATCAATCATTAACAAAAATTTTAAGATTTCTGTCTTATTTGTATATATGGTCTAAATAATATTCTGAATAAATTTTTGATACAATTTATTGGAATACCAAAATAAGAGGAGATTAGAAATTACTATCTATGTTCTATGTATGAATTTAGTTGAAATAATTGAGAGAATATAGAGAAATGAGTATCTATGAATAGTATATTTATTAATGGAAATAAATAAAGTTCAAAATAAAGTCAAATATGAATCATTTGATTATGGGTAGTATGAAAAATTAAAGAAACTCTTTCATGATCCCAGTTTTGAACCAATATAAGTAGAGGAATTGGATTTATCAAATGAAAAAGCAACATAAATGCCAAATGTATTATGTTTACAACTGCTCACACATCTTAAGGTTTTGGTATTGAATGGGAATCAGATCTAAAGATTTCCTGGAAAATTAGTAGCAAAAGAATTGTAGTCTCTTACAATTTTAGATCTTTCCAATAATCTGATTGAAGAATTAGATGATATTGCAGATATGAACTTACCAAATTTATCAGTTTTAGATTATTAAGGGAATTATGTGAGTACATATCTACTTAGGATAACTTAAATATAGCAATTATTATGTCCTAAGAGATATGTGAAATACAATCCTGTTAAAGTATTTACAGCATCATATAATTAACTTCCTGTTTGTAGATTGACAGAAGCCTAATATTAAGAGGAGAAGAAATGTTTAAGATCTATATAGAGAGCACCTGAAGAATTCAAACCAGAAGAATTAATGAATACTGTTTCTAAGTTCTCTCATAAAAATACTTTGGGAAAGTTTTGTTTAGAGATGTGTCCAGTTCCAAGAAAAACAAGATTTAAGAATTTAGAATATTTGAATGGTACTTAAATATCGAAGATGGATATTATGAGAGTGACAGGAGTTGATAATTATAAGTTAGCATTAGAAGTAGAGAACTCTGAGACTTAAAAATATAAACATGCTAAGAAATCTAAATTGCATAATGAATACATATAAAAATACATAAAGAGAGTTCAAAGATTATTGGAAGAGAAACCATCTAATGATCCAGATGAGATATTGAAGGCTAAAAAAGTAAAGAAATTGGATTAGAAGAAATTCTCTGTTTGGGAAACTCCATTAGATGTATAGTACAAGGATTCAGAGTTTACAATAGGAATAGAGGAATTTAAATAGTAAAAGAAGGAATTTGAAGAATAAAAAAAACAGAAATTAGAGAGGAAACATAGAAAATAAATAGAAAGGATTAAAAAGAAACATCCTTCATTTGAAGAAAGTGAGAGTGATCATGAGATCAGAAGAATGTATATGACTACTAAAGTAAAACCTAAAATGAATTTAAGTAGAGATGAGGATAGAATATACAGATCTTCAGAAAGTTCTTTAAGTGAAGGAGATAGTCCATAAGAAAGATAAAGTACAAGTCAAGAGAGTGTAGAAATGAGAGGGCCTAAGACAGTAGGTAAAGTAGAAGCCAAGCCAATTAGTTATTATAGGAAAAAGGCTAAGGAAGAGAATAAGAATAGGGAAGTAGTTCAATAAAGAAAAGTGTAATAATAGAATAGATAATAGAGAATAGAAGTAATGGAGAATGAAAGTAGTGAAAGTGATAAAGAAACTCCAACAAGATAAGTAAAGAAATCATCAACTTAATAATTATTTAAGAGTCATTAAAAATAACAAACTTATTCTCCAGTTGCTATACCTTAATAAGCAATACCTGCATAAAAGATTATTACTAAGATTTTGCATGATGAAAATAGAAATACTTTTGATCTAAGTAATAAACTAAGTGCTCAGCATCCAGTCATAAGAGAAGGAGAATTTAAGGAATAATAGTTTTAGAGAATGTTGAAGGTTAAAGAATCTGTATAGAAAGAAAGATAAGAATTAGAATAAATTAGAAAACCTATAACTGCTCAGCCTTAGATAAGATAAAAAGTTAATCGTGTTATTGTAGATGGTTAAAAGAAGAAACCTTAACCTACTAGATAGAGAGAATTAGTGAAATTGCATGGTGATTTAGATAAAGCTGAGTATTAAAGGATTCAAATTCCGTTGGAGGAAATGATTCCAACTGAAGAGCAAGGAGTACCAGAAAGGTTTAGATAGGAATTTCTGTATAATGTTGATAGTGAAACTTATAAAGAATTATTACATTATAAGGGTATTTTAGAGGAGAGTTTGAATCTCAAAGAAGCTTGGAAAGAAATGGATGCTAAGTTAGAAATATTGGGAGCCACAAAACCTGATAAGGAATTGAGATTTAAGGCAAATGACTATAATGCAGTACATACATATTTGAAGGCTAAATATAAGGATAAGATTAATCCTTATGAAATGAGAGAAATAATATATGGAGCTAATGATTATGATTTATAAGCTGAACCTAGGATATAGGAAAAGGATATTATGAAAAGATTGGAATAAGAAGATGTTACTTAAGAAGAAAGATAAGTATTATATAAGTGGATAGAAATTTTGGATGATATTAGATTAAAATAGACTAAAACTGATGATAAAAGATTGAGGAGAATTGAAATTAAAGAAATTGAAAGAGCATAATCTTTTGCACATCTGTAAATGAAATAAAGTATATAGTTAGTGCTTATCATTATTAAAAGTTAAAGAAGTATGTGTCTGCTGATAAACTTCAGAAGTATGTAAAAATGATGGGAATTCCATTAAATGAAATTTTGAATTAGGATAATTAAAAGTTGAAAACAGGATAAAAGAAAAAGACTGAATAAATTAATAGATAGAATTATTAATAAACTAAAGTTTAGACTCATAAAAAAGATAAAGAATAAAAAGATTTGACAAAATAAATGTTACAAATTGAAGAAGATAAGGCATAGATGTTAAAGGATTATGAAGAAATTAATTAGCAACGATATAGTAATATAAAAGCTGAAATAATGAGTGACACTGGTAATTTGGCTACTAATGATCCATATTATCTGAAATGTCTTAATAAATTAGAATAGGATAAGGTAGATGTATTAAACAAAGTAGCAAAATATAATATTCCATTTGAAAATATGGTAGAATAGAATTTAAGAAAATTACAAGACTAATTTATCACTACTTAAGGTCCAACAGATTTAGAAGAATAAATGATGAAGTATTTATTAAATAATAATAATTAGATATGCTTCTGAATTTAAAGAGAAAATTAAATAAAGAGAAAGATTACAATAGAATATTAATAAACATATAAGTGAAACATAGAAAAAATTAGATGAATTTTGGATGTGGGAAGCAAAAGAAAGAGAATTGAGAGATGATAAAGTAGCTAGTTTGATGAGACAAATAAAAAGATTAGAATTGGATGATTAATAAACTATATAATTCTGATTAAAATCCATCAATTTATTGATTATTTTAGTTAATTTGTTTCTTCTCTAACTTCAATGAACATTTAAGTAGCACTCTTCTCCCAATTCAACATAATTAATCTCAAGAATAAGACTAAAGCACTCACTGATAATCCACATGCCCATCCAAACCATAAACCTTTCAATCCATAATTTTCATAATATCCCCAATAGATTCCAGTACCTATTCCTATAGCATATTAACATAATAATTGAACATTTATAGTAAATGTTACTTCTCCTAAAGCACCCAATAAATTAGCTAACATTATTTACATCCCACCAATTGTAAGAGTAGGTAAGAACAATTTTAAGTTATTTGATAAAATAAGAGATGTTTCATTATCCATATAAAATAAAGCAATCCATTATTTCTTAAATACTACTAATAAGAAACTTAATAATATTCCAGTCATTAAACTTGTTGCTAAATAATGCCATACATGTTTTCTACCCTTTTCATATTCTTGATCTTTGAATAATCTCCTTATTCTAGAAGCAGCTGTCATTGCTACACCCAAAAAAAACATATATAATGCTTATGCTGTGAAAATGAGACATACACAAACCGAGAATTCTTCATATGTTAACCATAATGCAACAAATCCCATTATTTCAAAAGAAACATTTTACAAATAATTTTTGAAAGAGGAATGTAATAATCCATATGAAAATTAAAAGATCGATTTTAAAGTTCTTCTATCCCATTCAATCCAAGCAGGATGATTTTATTAATATTTAAAGATATAAATATATAAAAGCAAAGTAGATGCACAACTTGAAAAATTCTTACACCATGCTGCTCCTCTTATACCAAGATCCATATATACTATGAATTACTTAGATAAATATATATGTAAAATCTTTTAATATTAATGTAATAATTTACTGTAGTAAATGTGTGTATCACTAATACTGGATAATCAATTCCCATTGACTTCAAATAATTCTTTGTACAATCAAAATATGTGAATGCATACAGTGCAGGTAGCATTTCCCATACATATTGAATAGCTTTCTAAGCTACAATTCTTTTATAATTAGAATAACCTACATTGGAATATTGAATTAGGAAAGGATATATGTTGAACCAGCTATAGCAGGAGTTATCACAATCAGAAAAACACCATTCAATAATAAAGATCTTTAATATGAGATCCCAATCTTCACATATTAATGTTATTTAAACTATCTAGTCATAATAGTAGTAATGCTAGAATTCATACAAAGCAACAAGCCTTTTACTAATAAATTCACATATATTGTCCCAAAGCCTATTCCAATAACGTCTTCAATAATCATAAATAATTACTGTCTCTTCCTATAATGAAATACATATTCACTAACGTTGTAAGAATACTCAATTCCTATTTTCATAAATCTCCATCTCTTACCATTCCAATAACTGTAGGTAACGCCTTTACTAATAACGTTTCGAAACTGGACATAAACTGAGAAAACGTTGTGATCTCTATATTCTCTTCCGTCATCTATAACCAATTATATAATAAATTAAGAATATAAATCCAATTGGAAATTAGACTTCATCTAATTAAATTAAATAAACTTATATTTCAATCATATCATTGAGTATTACTGAATATAGGTTATTAACTGATGTAGAACTTTATTAAAATCAATGCTTTTCTCTTTTCCCAAATTCATCTCTCCTAAAATAACCACACTGTCCCCACTTATCATTTATAATCCAGCATTTAAAAACTAAACTCTTGACTCTAGAACATACTCTCTCATCACTATTTTAAAATACACAATTCATTGATCGATCAATTCCATTTAGAGTCCATTATATATAGAAAATACATGATACCAACAAAACAAACATCTATCTTAAACTCTTCTATTCAACATTATTTCGAATGAATTCACTCCTTCTTTATATACATTATTTTAAATAACATGTATATTTATAAAGTAAAAATTTTCATTTCTCATAAATTCCAATATTCACAAAAAAGGTAGTAATAGTTCCTTAATATATATTTAAATACAAAATTTGGATTCTAGTTTGTATTGATTATAATTATAATTGATAAGAAATGTATTGAATTTTATGAATAAATTACTATTTGAAAATAAAAAAATAATATAATTCTAGCTTTTTGTTTTTCAAAATTATTTGTAAAATTAAAGTTAAGAATATATTTGAAATAGTTCTAGCTGATAGGATTAACAAGATTATTCCTTTACTAATAATACCTAATGTTATTAATTTATTATTTTTATATTTAATTAATTCCTTATATAAATAAGAAACACATTAAGTTCTCTTTCAAATTTAAATCTTTATTATCGCTAAAGATCTATTTAATATATATAATACTATACTAAAACATTATTGTTAATTAAATATATGAATTTTGAATAACAAAAAGAAAAGGTACTAAAAATTATTCTATAATATATATTATAAAATTTCCATAAGTCATTTAAACAAAAGAAGATGATCAATAATGAAATAGAATTAAACATTAAAATGCTTAAATAATATTTTTATTTCTTAAAGAATATCTGATTACAATTACAACAACAGATTTAAAATATATAATTATTTAAAATAGCTTTACATTTTTCATAAGTTAAAGGAGATTACTCTATTAATTTTTAATCAAATCAATATTATATATATATAAAATTTTATTAATAAAGTTAATTAACGTTGAAATGAATACTGTTTAATTAAATTATTCATATAGGTAAGTTTCACCTCAAGCGATAGAAGCCCTAAAATCCCTCGAGTAATTATACAAAATCTCAAATGCAAAAATAGTTAAAAGAATTAATACAATATCTCCAATAAAACTTTTCTAAAATAATAGATAATTTACTGTTTTTGATAATAACCCAAATACTAGATTACCTAAGTAACAATTTAATTAAACACTCAATCAAACTGATAGAGTATAACCTCAACATAATCGAAATATTTCATCTGAAATAAAAAATTTTAGATAATAAATTCAAGATAATATTTTACTCTAAACTGTCATATCAAAATATGAGTCCTCTCCAAAAATGAATACTCCTGTCAAAACATCTGGAACATAGACTCCTACTATGTTTATTCGTAATTCATGTGATAATGTCAAATCACCAAATTAGTAAAGTTCTCGAGAAAACTAGTCGTCATAATTAAATCTGATACAAAAGAAGAAACTCATTCTAAATCAAATTTTATAACTTGATAATGAAATCAAATTAATGCAGGATGAAGAAGTAAAAAGACAATTAGATCCTTTGCAGGACAAAAGATTAAATTAAACATCAATAACTCCTATTTCAATTAAAGAATCTTTAGAAAAACATGTAAGTAATAGTACTTTTATGCAAAAATTAAATGAATGGATGAAGAAAAAGAGAACTACTCATAAAGATGAAAAATAATAATAAGAACAAACTAGTTTTACATAAAATTCTGTTTTAAGGGATGTATGATAATACATTATTCTTAGTGTACTTTTAATGGAAATTTGACATCTAAAGAGCGTAACTATGAATCATTTTATGATCGTAATTAGAAATGTCAAAAGAAAATTAATATCAATAAACAAAAGATAAAAAATTAAAAATCTATGATTTAATTGAAAAAAGAATCAAAATCTCCAAATTAAAAGGTTCCTAGACCAAATTCATAAGAATTGAATTGTTGGATAAGAGGAAAAGAATTAAAAAAGTCTCAATCTCCTACATATAATAGAATATAATAATAATTATCAAAGAAACTTCGTTTTTGAATAATATTAGTTATTTAAGTTTTATTAAATTTTGTCTATAATTTTTCATATCTAATTTAATGGATTTACATCTTTATTTGATTTATTTCTTATTATAAATAATAATAATAATAATAATAATAATAATAATAATAATAATAATAATAATAATAATAATAATAATAATAATAATAATAATAATAATAATAATTTATGATAGTATTTTGTGCTAATTCTTTACCTTAAGTCATTTCAAATTAAGGTGTTCGATAATTTTAAGTAATTTTATAAACTTTAAAACCTTAACTTATACTTAATCAATGTGGAGGAGATATTGAAACACGATCACAATATTTTAAAAAGCATTTAAGTAAATTTAATGAACCATTTCATTTAATCGGTTATGGAATTGCAGGATTGGATTTAAGATATGTTTTAAGTCAAAATAATAATATTCGAGCAAAATCATTAATTACTATTGGCACACCTCATAGAGGATCTATTTTAAGTGATTTATATAGAAGAAAGAGAATTGAAGATGATATTATAGAACCAATTTGTAGAGTATTAGGTGTTAGATAAAATTACTTTGAGGAAATCAATAGTGAAAATATAAGGGATTTCAATTTAGTGGCCACAAATAAAGATGTTATCAAGGTAAATGTTATTAGAATATACAGTATTTTAGTTTGAATGCAGAGACAGAGGTTGGTTAGATGTCATAAATTTATCAAGCAAGTGGTACAATAATAGAAAGTGAGAAAGAATATCCAGTAGAGAGTGGATCAGATGGTATTTTTGCTCATAATGAAACTAAATGGGGATAACATGTTGCAACATTGGATTGTGATCATGGGGCAATGATTGGAATACCTAATTAAAGAAATGGTGAATAAACTGTGGATATAATTTAATAATTGATCTAAGATTTATGATCAATCAAAAAAATATTATATAATAGATTGTAAAAGCAATTTTTATATATTAGTATAAAAATTTAATATGTAGACATCATTATTTTATACATTTTTATCACTTTATTATATTTGAAAATATTATTAATTATAATATATTGATTTTAAACAATTTATTGATTTATTTATTATCTAATTAGTCCTAAAAAAATTTAATATATCTTATTATATATTAATTACAATTTAAGCATTTGATGAAAATTTATTTGGATCCTAATTATCTTAATTTTAAATTTCTATGATTCCAACTTATTAAATCTTCAAATTTATTTACTATAATATTAAGTGTATTATAAATTTTTTATTATTTTAAGTTTAAAGGATAATTATAGTTTTTATTAAAGAAATAGAATTATTATTCTAATTTGTTTATAATAATTAATTTTTGGTAATGATTATAAAAAATAAATAATGTTGAAAACTACAATTTTTATTTATAATAAATTTAAGGTAATAAAAAAATAAATATCTGTATTAATGGATTCTAATTTAAGGTCATTTGATATTTATTATATTCATTACTTATTTAGAAATACGTTCTCGTGGATGTTTTGATAGTAATTTTGGGAATGTCCCTATAGATTGAAAAGAGCGAGGCAATTTACTTACACTATTGGATAAGGCATTTGGTGGTATTTATGGTAATTCTAGTGTAATAGTAGGTACAGGTTAAAGAGGTTTTGAAATATCAATTGTAGGCTTTTTCATAAATAATGGATGTTCTTTTTATTTGTTTATATCATTTGATTAAACAATTAATCCATCTAGTTATTCTTCACTGAGTATTGAAATGGATCCATTTAATTTTTACAAAATATTAGATGTTATTGAATGATTGACTGTAGTTTTAGGTTATCTAAAACTGAGTAAACTATCATTATTTTATGTTTAAGGTTGATCTTCTTAAAATGTTCTACTTGTTTTACTTTATTAGATTTATGGTTGTGAAATTGATAATTACAAAGTTTTATTTTGAAAATTATTGTTAGATTATTATGAATTTGTTATGGTTTGATATTCTAACTTTGTCATATGTACATTTTAATTTAAAAGAGTATTCTACAATTCATTATTATCTTTTATATCCATTAGAGGTAAACATCTTTCTTTCTTTTTTTCAGATTTCCCATCATAAAATGAGACTCCTTCTTTCATAACTATTATATCAATCTGAGGTACAGTAGTCTTGATTGCAAATTGATTCATAGAATTTAAATATGCACTCTATCTTTTACCTGATGTGATTAATTCAGATTATAATTTATGATTAGGGATGAGATCTCTCACTTCAACAAGATTCCTTTTTTCTTGAATATTTTAATGAGACTTTGGATATCTATCAATATCAGGTGGTTTTTAGACAATTACTTTACCCTCAAAGTCATATGTATATTTAGCTGAGTATAAAAATAGTATTTGTACATTTAGAGTCAACATTCAATCGCTTAAGTTGTCTAGTTTATTCTTGAACTTCTTAGTTTTTTATCTTATCATTTTATTACTTTAGCTATTGTATTTACATTTACCTCAATTTAGCTTATCTCATACTTTCAATATTTGGGTCAAATTCAATATCATCATCTAACTCACCCATCTTGATTATTTAACATTCATAGATATCAGTATTACTTTGAGTTTGTCCCATTGAGATTTTTGTTAACTTTTTTGTTTCACTTCTTCTAATAGGAGATTATTCTTATGACTTTACTAATGCAACTTATCCTTGACATCTTCTCCAGTGATCAATATTTACTGGATTAGGTTCATCATCCTCTAATATAGTGTCATCATAATCATCATTTGATATATAATGCTTTTTAGCTAAAGTCTTGACTTAATCTTAAAACCATTGATAACCAATCCATGGCATTTAAGATTGTATATATTTTTCAGCCACTATTACACTTCCCAAATGAACTATCAATTTAATAGAATCTCTAGCAATAACATGAGACTCATTAATTTGTTACAACAGTTACTCGGTAAATATGTCCATTAAATAATTATTCAATTTATAATGTTGACAAATAATATTACTTTAAATTAAAAAATAATATTGTAAAAATACATAAATACATTATGTCATATATTTTTATTAAAGTCTTATTGCATAAATTAATTTCTAAAATTAACTAAAAGAAATGTAGGAATGATCATTATTAATTAATATTATGATAATTCTATTTAATACAAATTTTAAATCTAATTATCTAAAAGTTTACTATTAATATATATGAATAAGATACCATTCATATTTTAATTTAAATTAGTATTATATGATCTTCCTTTAATTTTATATATAAATTTATGTTCATTTAAAATGAAATGATATTTATTTTATAATTAAAATAATCAATTTTTTTTATTATTTTTTAAAAGTAAAATATGAATTAAAAATTTAGTTTAACTTAAGGATTAAATATAAATTAAAGTTATATAAGAGTTAGTGGAAAACACAATTTGTTTAGAATTTAAAATATATATTTGATTAACTCAATTATTAAGTGAATATTAAAATTAATAAATAAAAATTTACAAAAATGCTTTCTACATAATCTTCTCTTTTTGATTAGATTGAAGAAGTATGCACAAAAATTTTAGAGGAAAATGTCTTGGTTACTTTGAAAGAAAAATAAGAGATTAATAGGTTAGTATTATGATTTTATTATAGTAAAATTGATGTGCATGTTTAAACTCATAACAATGATTAACAATAAAAAGAGGCCAAAAAATTTATAAAGGTTGCTATAAAATGCATCAAGAAACATATTGCAAAAAATGTAAAATAAGAAATTATGTATGTTAGATTCTCCCTAAATTTTAAGATAAATATAAGGATGCTTTATAACATATTGAAACATTTTTATAGATACATGAAACCTTTGTGAAGTCTATGAAATCATACAAAACAATTTTGTATTAGGCTGTAATTATGTATAAATTATTATGTAGGCACAAAACTTGTAATAAGAGAGTATTCCAGAGTTTTATTCAAGTTTATTTGATAATATATTTGTCGAAGAGTTATAACTTGTGTTTAAAAATGTTTTATTTAAATGTGTAGTTGATATGATTAAGACTGTAATTTTGAGTGAGATATAATTTTTTAGGCTTGTGAAGAAGAATAAAAATAATAAAAAATAAGTGATTTACTATATCATTTTGGAAATGTCATGTCTTAATTATAAAAATCAACTGACGAACCCTTGGAATTTAAAATAGAGTAAGAATTCAAATAAAAAATTTTTGATTATTTTGAAGAGAAATATTAATAAAATTATAAATCTTGGCATTAAAGCTTAAATACTTAAGTTTATTTAAAGAAGGTTTAATAATAGAAGGAGATAAATGAGAAGGTATTAAAATTTGGAGATAAGACAATTTTGGAATAAGTGAATAGAATACTTAATTCACATCTATTAACATATTATAAACCATATTTATTAGCAGATTCAAATCCAAATAATTTTGAACATCTTTTAAATGAATATCATAAAGAAGTTATAAGTTAACAATCAAATTTAAAATTGATAGGAGATTTATATGGCAGTTTAGATGATCATTATGATTAGATAACAACAAATTTTAAGAATATTATAACATAAGAAGGATAATTAATAATGTAAAAAAAGAATCATTAAATTGTTGAAACAAATTAAGATTAAAATTTTTCAGATCCAGGTTTTATAGGATAATTTTATAGTTTATATTAGAAATATTATTCATTGATAGAAAATTGTTTTTCTTAAAAATCTGATTTTATAATGGCTTTAAATAATGCATTTGAATCATTTATAAATTTACCTATTGGAGTATATATTTATTTAAAAATTTTAAGAATCATGAATTTGCTGATTATCTTGTGACATATATAGGTGAATAGATAGAAATGTTAAGAAATTCTCCAAAGAATAATACAAAATCACCTGAATAAATAGTAAAATTGTTTGTATTTATAAATTAAAAAGGTAGATTTTTAAAAGTATTTAAAAATAAAATTATATTTTTTAGTTATATAAAATATCTTTAGCTTAAAGATTAATAAAATATTAGAGATAAGTTGAAGCAAAAAAAAATAAATTAGCATATTAGATTGAAGTGAATATTGTTGAAGAGATGGAAAAAAAATGTGGTGCTTAAGATTTAGAATCACTTAAAATTATGATTAAAGATTTTTAAAAGACAGAAAATGAAGTAACTAAAATATAAGAAGAAAAAGGATTATGTAAATTATAAATATAACCACCAATAATTATTAATAAATAACATTGGCCAGAAATAGATGAATTATAATTAAATTTACAATCTGAAATAATTACTTAATAAAAAGAAATTATAGCAAAAAGATAACAATAAAAGACATTGATTTGGTTAGATTTAATTTCTTATGTTGAAATATAATGTACTGAAAAAGCATTAAAATTTAATTTAAGTGTTCCATAAGCAGTTATTTTATTACTCTATTAATATAGAAATGATATTTTAGATGTTAATCGTATAGCATCATTAACTGGATTAAAAGAATAATATGTTATTTAAAATTGTAAAATGATGAAGGATGCTAAAATATTAGATGAATAAATTGTAAATGATTAAATTTGTTATTAATTTAATGAAAATTTAACCAAATAAAAAAAAGGAAAATGTAAAAATATTGTAACTGAAACATATTTTCCTTAAAATTAAGTTGAATAAGGTAATTTATTAATTTAAATATTTAGTTGTATCTGTTTATGATAAAGATTTAGCTATTGAAGCAGCTATTGTGAAAATTATGAAAAAATAAAAAGAGATGTAATTCAGTGATTTGGTAATATAAGTATAAGGACATATGAAGAAAAATTAAAATGTTGAAATACCATTTGCTTAAATTAAATAAATGATAGAAAGATTACAAAGAAATGAATATTTAGAAAGAGATGCTGTTAATATGTAATTGATAAAATATAAATGACTTAATTAATTGAACAAATTATTAAATATAAACAAATCACATTTAAGCATAATTTAATTCATTTCTTTTATCTTAATTATCTATCTCTCCTTTATTAATTTTCTAAATATTCCTAAATACATTAATATTATTTAAAATACTTTATGTTTCATTGTTAATTCAAAATCATTAAGTTACCAAGCTACTAAATCTAATCTATTTTATGAATCAGAAGCTAATGGATACTATTCTGGATAAACTTCAAAAGGAAATTCTGTCATTATATTAAAAGTATTTCTTTCATCAACATTAAAATTTTTACCTTCTGATTACCAACTATTTTTAATCAATATTATAATTACAATCCATCAATTTTACTTAAAGCTGGATATTTTTAAGTAGAACCTTAAAGTCCTTAATATTTCTTATATCCTAATTTTTTCCATCTTGATATTTCTTTTTCATCTACTTTATAAATTGAACCTTGAAAATAATCTAATGGCATTTTTTTCCCAAATAATCCACAAGGAGGATTAAAGTACAATTCCCCTAAATATTCGTTTACATAATCTATACAATAAATAGGACCTTCCAAATAAAAAATTCTGTCTCCAATTGTTATACCACTCAAATAACCTTTACAATTATTGAATTCTATCTTTGTACCATTTACAAATTCCAAATTTACTTTACCAAAATTACAACCGGTAATTGAATTCAAACCTAAAGTTGCTTAAGTTTCAAAATGTCCATTAATATTGTATCCTTATCCATACATCATAAATCCAGCAATAGGTGGATGATGACTAATTTATTCTAAATAGATTGGACAACCTTTAACCCAACATTAAAAAGTTTCACCAAGAATAGGATTGAAAGGTTTTTCTAAAGAAAGATACAATATATTCATAGATACAATGAAGGCTAATACAGCTTTCATTTAATCAAGTGGAGTACTATTAACTACAGGTTCTAAAAAATGAGGAGCATAAGAAAAAGAACTTGCTAATCTTTATAGGTTAGTTCTTCTTTCAAATATGTGAACAGGAAGTGAAATATGAAGTATACTTGTCCTTAATAGACTTTGTCCAATTTTTTATAATATATAATACAAAACCTTCTTTTATTAAGCTAATTTATCTTAATTTATAAATTTTAAATAGCCTTTTTAACCATCATATATCCAATCTGATTTATAAAAAAAATGTTATCCATCATTATCTTTCTCATATCTTTCTAATTAAATATTGTGTTATGGTTTAGTTTAATAGAAATGAATTTATGAAAGATGATGTACTTATTATTCAATATCTAAAAGTCTATCGCATAAAAATTATTGTAATGACTCTTTTGTATATTTGGAGATTTGATAAAATTATTATATATTGTCATTTTTTAGATTTATTGCTATTCTTTATTATTCTGATCGAATATCCTCTTTAAGAAAAGAATCTCTATGTTAATTGTCTCCATCTAAAGAAAAGTTATCATTAAATTGGCTCATTTAAGATGATAAATTTGGAGAAATACTTTAATCTTGATAAGCAGATCTAATAACTTAGGTTTTAAATGTTCTTTTAGTTTATTTATTTTTAAGTTATTCATATCTATTAATTAAACTCATAGCTTCACTTACAAATATTGGTAAATTAACATTACCTATCTATTACTTTTTATTTTCTTCTTTTAAATATTATTTATAATTTTGATATTGTTAAACATAATTCAATATTAGTTATTAATCTTAATGTTATGTTATATAACCTTTATTATAGACAAGTGTGTCAACAATCATAATTTTACTTTAAAGATCTTACATAAAAATTCCAATTATATTCCATTCAATATTTCCATCATTTTCATGGCTTTCATATGATTTTTCTATAATGAAAAAGGAATCTTTGGATGGATATATATATCTTAAAAGTTTGAAAGATCTAGGTTGATAAATGAAACTTAAAGGTTCTCTGGTTTCTTCTATTTAAGCAAGAAATGGAGTAGCTTAAAGTACAATAGATTGATTTTTAATTTGTTTGTTCCATTTCATTAAGGAATAAGGATCATAAAGAGAAGTAATTAATGTTTCAAGAGATGTTTTGGGTAAAGATACATAGACTCTAAAATTATTTTTATTTAATTTTGATTGCATGATTCTAGCACAATGTTCAAATGAAATGAGAGAAAAGTCATGATCATCCATCAAAAATTCTAGATTTAATTTCTCTTTTAGACCCTCAAAAACAATTGGTAAATTTTCTTGTATTATATGTTCTTCTATTATAATAGCTTCATGTTCTATATATTATTATTATGGTTTAGGTTAACTTTTTTATTTGGTAATATTAGTGTCATCAGCTTACTTTTTCTTAATTGTTGCTGTGCGATATCTATCTCTAGTATCTAAATTCTTTATTTCATTTTCTTATTCATTTTTTGAGATAATTGTTTTAGATCGTTCCACATTTTCTTATTTGCAACAAATTTAGAAATATTCAATCCATTTATTGATTTCATCCTTGTCCTCACTCCCTATTATGATATCTTTAATCTAAGCATTTGGATCTCGACATAATAATTCATATTAATATCTGCCTCTTAAATAGCCTCGGTAATTAATTAGAAATTCTGTCAAATCTATTATATAAGGTTTTTCCTTTGGATTTTATCTATGAATTATCAATTCTCTTATGTCTAAATCAATTTCAATCTTTTTCCTTGACCATAAAATGGTACTTTTACCCAAAATATCAATTTCACCAACCACTTTCTTTTGTTTGAAGAATAGATTGAATAAACTTATAAGTAATTCAATTTTGGATTCCTTATTAAGTTTGAATAATTAATTTAATTCATCAAATGTAAGTTGATCATAATCTAATGAATTTAGTTCAAGGGTTGGATCAAGAAGTGAATTCTAAAGTAGTTCCATCTTTTAAAGAAATTTAATTGGAATGGCTCTTTGAGTTGATGGCTCTGCTCATAAAGTAAAATGATACTTTGTGAAAGTCTAGTAATACGATTGAACATTGGTTGTAATTTCTCCATTTCATCGGAATTCATTAATTACAAATAAATATTATTTTATAAAACAAATCATATTATTACACACTATTCAATCTTTTAAACTGGTTCAGATTTGTTTAAAGGTCATTCATTATTATATTTTTTGATGAATTGTGTTTAAATAAACAACAGCTAAGAATGGAAAGAACACGTCATTAGCTGTTAAAAACCAGTTGTTGTTAGTTTTTTTGCTGAATGGTATCGATATTGAAATTAATCAATTATAGGTGTGCACCATGTCATAAATTGAATCCACAACTAATTCAAGAAGCTTAGAAGAACTGTGAAAAATGGTAGCTAGCCCTCGTTAATGTAGATAATGAGGAGCTCTATGACGTTGTATAATAAATAGCGGTATTGTTTAATATTGATTTTATTTAGAAGGCCTAAATTCCATCTGTTCATCTTCTTAATAGAGGAACTTCTATTGACTCTATGACTGGATATAGTGAAAGAAAAACAAAATCCTTTATAAATAGGGTTTGCAGTTGATTTTAATTACTCCTTTAAACATGTCTTTTATAAAATAAATTATCAAATAGATGGACGTATTTGACCATTTAACTTTGAGAACAATACCTTTCTTTAGGTAATGTGAAATTGATTTTAAAGTTCTAAATTTTGGGCTTGCCTTAATTACCTTCTTACTTCGCCTCTTATTTCATCCAGTACTCTCTCACCATCAGATTCCCACAATGCTTCCTTTATAATAAAGCCATCCTCCAAAGAAGGATGATATAGATGTTTGAACATATAATACTCACGATTATTGTTACTGATTTGAATTATATCGTCAAAGAGTTTTTCATATTTCTCTCTGTCCTCGGGTTCTTCCATTTTATGAGGAGCATAAATAGGTGGATTGATAGGATGTTTATAAGGGATTCTAGCAAACTATTTCAATATGAAAAGTTTCTCACATATTCAGGATAATCAGACTAGAAATCAAATGGATGATAACTTAGAATGGTTTTGCCAATTATTATTAATACAACACCTTTTAAAATTCCCCTAGTAATTGAAATTCCAATCTCAGGTTTCAGAATTTAGAAATATTGCATAAATTAAATAATCTTAATTAACTTAGTGTTGTTATCTATATGATCAATAAAGACATTTAAGTATAATTATAATGCAATTAATGATAAAATTTTAAATATATCTTAAAACTTTTTTATGTATGATAATAAAATATACGATTATAATCTCAAATCATTCTAAAATTCTTATATAAATAAAGTGTATTATTTTCAATTAAATCCAACTTAGAAATTGTAAAATCTAGATAGGTTGATAAGGAATATGTTTCAAAAACAAAAACTGAATTATAACATATTATTTTACAACTTTATAAATTATCAACTTTTTTTCAAAATTCTACAAAACTTAAATTAATTATGCCTTTTACTAATTATTTTGTTATCATCTTTAGTGTTTGTTATGCTCATTACTTTTTTCCTTTTAAATAATCTAAATTATTAGAATATTACTAATTCATTCTAAGAGTTTATCAAATCTGAAATTTCTTTTAGTATTTAAGATTCCTTTCGATAACTGATAGGATATGTCTTAGATCTTAGGACTTAATATTTATTAATCCATTTATGGAAGACCTTAATTATCAAATTCTTAAATTGGAGAAATCAGTTCTTCTATGATTAGTGATTCAAATTATTAAAGAATCAAATATTGTTTCTTAATTAATTCCATTATGAATCATTTCACCTTAAAGTTTCATGACCCAAAATTAGAACGTAAATATCAAGAAAATTACTCTAATGAACTATATGATGCCTTTAAATACACAATGGTATTACTCTCATTATCAAATGTAATTTTAAGCATATTTTGGATTTAAAGGTAATAATTTGCTCTTGGATGCATGATGATAATCATCTGTTGTGGATAAACAATTGTATTTTACTACATACTAATTAAAAAGCGATTCATTACTCTAGTAGGTTATCTAATATCCATCCTTAGTTTACTATCATCATTTTATCAAATAATGCCTTACTTTTATACAGAATTTTCTGAAACAGAATTCATATGGATTTTTGATATATCCTAGTTCATGGCATTAAATTTTGCATTAAGCCCTAATTTTATACTAAATCAGTTTCTTTAGTTTTTATTTGTTTCATCTCGATTATTCATGAGGAACTTTGCTGCAATAAATCCATTTTCCTTTATTCTCATAATGTATTTGATACTATTTTGGTAAAAAGAATATTTTAGATAAAAGCATAATCGAAATTAGTTTTTCTTAAAAGAACAGTAAAAATAATCCTTGTTTTTATGGGATAATTTAATTGAAGAAAAAATAGTGTTGTTATCTTATGATGAGACTTGGAATAAAGTTGAACTTATATTTGCAAATTAATCAATAAGATAAATAATAGATTTAGATTCTAAAGAGTTTTTAAAAGATTTTAGAATTTCCAATTTAAAAATAGATTTTTATCAATATTTATTAGAACGAATTCATGATAAGACCTATCAATTTTAGGTAAAAGTAATACATAGTACAAAAAAAAAATACATAATAGATTGCATAATGAATAAACTAGTAGAATTGAATATATCATTAAAATTTTCTGAGTTTTAATCAGAAAAAGATAATTAAAATAATCATTCATATCTCAAACTGTTAAAGAAAATTAAAATGATAGATAAATAACTCTACTATAAAGAAATTCAAAAGCATATCATTTAATAATCATACTACTTTAAAAGTGTAACAATAGATTAAGTTGAATAATTAACTCTCATTAAATTAAGGGCTTTTATGAATTTTATAATCAAGAGTAATCCCTCTAAAATCTTATTTGATTTGCATTAATTTAATACAATATTGCCTCTCGTCTTTACTCTGCTTAGTTGTTTAAAAAAATTATATAAGTTTTAGGAAATTCAATTCATTGAACAGAATTAAAATGAAGCCAATTTAATCATAATTGGGAAAATAAAAAGGGTTCCTTAGATGAGGGTGGAAGTTTGTAAAAAAATAATTAATCATATTGTGGATTAGATTGGGTTATATGAAAGTGTTTTTTATATAACTTAATTTAAATGTACTTTAGTAAATATGGAATTTAAAATCGAATCAATTCCTTAGTAAAATTATTATCTAAATTTTATAATAGCTCTCTTGAATGATTTCAACCAGAATCAAATCTTGATGAATAAATTTATTTTATCCAACTAATATTCATAGACTCATTCTAAGTTTTTATATCATCTACTCTGAGTTGGTTATTTAATATTTTAGTTAATTTTTTTTCTAAAAAATTTGTTTATAGTTTATAAGCTATAAAGGCATTCAATTTTCAGCAATGATTTGAACGTGTTAATTAAACACTTTGAATTTTTTGCACTGCCACAAAAAATATTAGGAGTTTTTAATTTTAATGATATTTAATTATTTATACATAAAATCGTCAAAAATTTGATTCCAAAATATTCTAATATCAATTAATACATCTTTTACCAATCATATGATAAGTACTTGTGGACCAATAATCAACATACTTTTAATAATATTTGAACCATATTAAAATATTTGTGAAAATATACTATAATATGGTTCACTTAATTTCTTGTTAAATCCAATCTTAAAGAATGCATTCTGATAATGATAGAAAGAATAATAATTATATTATAATACTAATTTTAATATTTGATTATCAATTTTATCTGATTTATTATACTTTATTGCTTGTATAAAAGGAGTTAAACAAGTTGTTAATAAAATTATTATAGCTTATTTCATTTTAAAACTTGATAAACTCTATAAAGTTTACTTATATTGATTAAATTAATTAATTTAAATTAATCATAATATTTCTTTATAACTTTTTAAGAGTATAAATTTCAAACCAGACAGATTCAAAAATTCTGTTATTTAATATGGGATCTCAAACATATGTTATCCTATTTAATTTTTGTCATAGATCCTATTACTTTATCAAATTATAGTATTACTATGGATATTCAAATTTTTAAAAAGATAATAATATAAAAAACGAATTCTAAAATTCTCAAAAAATTCAAAAAGGATCGAATAACAATTAATCCTGATGATCAAATGAAAATGTTTAGAATAATAAAATACTTATATTTTTAAATCAATATCTATATATATTTACATCATAAGAAGTTCACAGATTTGTCAATAACTTGGTTAAGTTCTTGACTCCTTTAATAATTGTTATTCCACGATTGTATAAGGTTTTCAACGTGTATGTTACAATTATCAAAAATAGAGTTGTTTTGGTTCGATTGAATAATCTAAGATATATGATCAGCAGTGTAGGCCAATAGTAAATCTTTGAATGTTACACCTTTGACCTCATTGGTTGTGAGATCAATAGTAACAAGTCCATTCTTGTTGTACCATTTTGGATAATCTACAATTTTTATAATAAATTACGTTTCATCTACTCAGCTATTTAAGAAACTTATGCCATGAAACTGAAAGAGTCTTAAAAATTCTAGAACTAGTATTTACGACCTAAACTAATGGCATTCTAACTATTAATATAAGATTTACAAATGTCCAATTCGAATTCAACTCTTGAATGCTAAGAATTTGGTTAACTTCATCAGCACTCAATTTTGTGAACTTCTTAGTGGGTACATCCGAAAAGTCCTTCAACAAATACTTCAAACCAAGCAGGTTAGCTGTGGTTCTAGTATTGTTAGAAGCGAAATTTCTATACATAGATATTAATAATGCTAAAACGATTTTTTTTAATGGGATTTGAATTAATTAAAAGTATGCAATTATTATAATAATTTGTCATCATATTATCCCTTAAATTGAATAAAATCAATTATTTGCAACTTATTTGATCTTGTAATAAAATTGATTATTTCTGAACATATTTTTATTCTTATTTAATTTTTATTTAAAATATGAAAAAAATATGTATAAAGAAAATACTCAACAATTCTCTTAATTTATTTTAATAAAAAGAAAAAAATTCACATATTTTAATAAAGATAATGAAAATAATAAATATAAATATTTAGAATTCTTGTAATAATATATCAATTTAATAATTAATATATATATATATTTTATAATATATCTAATCATCCTAATTAGAGATTGAGTCTACAAGTTTCAATAACTGCATTCTACACTTTTCCTTAAACAATATGACATAATTTTTCATATTCAGCTCTTAATTTGATATTATTTCCTTCTTAACTACTCATGAGTCTTTCTAATTCTAATATTCTTTAATGTTATAACTATAAGTTGGTTTTATGTAAAGCATATTATCTTTCTTATAATAATCTTCTCTATTAAATATCATCCATTCCTCTATCTAAATATATATATTACATAAAATACCTTTTTAAATGTTTAAGATAAAGAATGTTTCATCTATTTTTCTAATTAGATTATCAATATGATGATCTAATACAATATTATTATTTATCAATTTTTCTTGTTTAATACTTCTCTTACTAATTTGTAAATGTGTTTGAT